GAAACACTGGCGCCATGAATGTCCCTGAGGATGGGAAGTCGTGATTCTAGACAGGCAGGATTCTTGCCAAACCCTCTTCAGGTAGTTTCATTGCAAAGTCTCTATCATGGTCAGAATGGCTCCTGGCAGGGAGGCCATATACAGAGATATACCTTGTCTTGTCACGCCCCAGCACCTGGAGAAGCTTTTCAGTGCCTGGTTAGGTGTGTTTGTGCACATCAGGTTGTTACCACAGCCAGGTGTTGTCCCTGTCCCTGTCTTTCTACCCAAGTCCTAATCATTGTTGACACTTCTGTCCCCATCCACCCAGAATGCAGCACAGGCTGCTAGCTTTTTCCTTTGAATACATCAGAGAGCAGTCTCACACGTCTTACAGACATCTGCTGTCATTCTGGGCCGGTAGAATGTGCTACTTGCCAGCTCAAGCTTTCTCTTTGGCCCCAGATGTCCGTATCCGGGACTGCTTGTTGGTGCCATGGGTGGGACCGGTTATCATTTACTCTAGCATCCCATTCCACAGCTGCGACTAATTCCATTGTTTCAACAGTAAGGCATTGTTCCCCCCTAAGGAACAAAGCTGGGGTCCTCAGGGGTCATTCCTTTGCTTCTTGCCTTGTGTGACTTTTGTTGCTTTCAAATTAGCCTATGCTCTGGACACTGGTCATCCAAGGACAATTGAGGCAAAGAGGGTTGATTCATTGCTGCAAAGTTCACCTGGAAGTGCACTCTCTGTGGCAGTCCCAGATTACTAATTATATTTGTCCTTAGTAGCATTGTTAGCCTAATAGCCTGGGCTTTGTCCCTGTCTCTAACATCTGGAAGTGCTGGGATTATTGTTGCCATGGCAACGGGAGCTGCCGAATGCCACACGTGACGCCTCTGTCACTTGTCCTGAGCCTCATTATGTTGCCTTCAGTAACTTCTTTCGCATTGGAGGCCTCCCATTCTCACTAATTCCTCCTTATTATCAATGTTATATTAATAGTAAGAGGAAGAATTAGCATTTATACCATGCTTTAAGGCTTGCAAAGCACTTTACAGATAGCATCTCAATTATTCTCCAGCATTGCCCTTCCTCTTTGTCTCTGTGGCCAGGCTAAATTTCTGCTTGTTTTAGGCAGTGTCCATAACCTGTACTCTGTCTCTATAGTCCAAAATATGTTCGCCGATTTAGAGCAAGAAGGACCTCTGAGGCTATCTGGTTCAATTCCCTCACTTTACAGAGAAGGAAACTGAGGCCCAGGTAATGGAAATGACTTGCCATGGTTTCATATTACATCCTTAATCTAGGACTAGAAGAAGCTTCAGGGACCATCTAGTCCAGTTTCCCTCATTTTACAGAGGAGGAAACTGAGGCCCGGAGAAGGGAAAGGACGTTTTCGAGGTCACACAGGCAGTAAATGATGGATTTTGAACTCCCATCCTCTGATTCCAAATCAGTCCTCTTTCCATGGCACCACCCTGCCTCTTCATCCTCAGTGCAGTGTAAAGTCTTAAGAGGTAGGTTCCAAAGCAGCAGTCCTTGGTTTGGGTCAATTCCTGTGAAAGAGCTCCAAGCCTTCAACACCATGAGGTTGTGATTAGAAGGAGGGTTTTACCGTGTGTGTTTGCTTTTGTTCCATAGGTCAAATTAGCTGCTGTCAAATAACTGTTACACTGTCAAGTAGAAGGGGGTATGAAAGTGGTAGCTAGGCAGCTCGGTGGGTAGCCTATCAGGGTCTGGAAGACCCGAGTTCACATCCTTCCTCAGATACTTGTTATCTGTGTGACCTTAGGCAAGTCACTAAACGTCTCAATCATAAGATTGTGGCCACTCAAAAACAGATTTGTCTTTCTGGTCTGTTGTATTTATTGAGATTATAAAAAAATAAAAGCAACTCAAATAATCCAGTACTGGAGGAGAGACTCCCTCTTAGACCTAAGTGTTCCCCCATAGACAGAACAGTTTTTTCTAAGAGTGACTGGATTCTTCTCGATGGGGAACTCCTTCCATGAAACCAGGTGGGGCTCATTAAGTCCCGCAGCCTAGTGTCTCACAGGATGGATGCTTGGCATGGACTTGGTATTGCTAATGTGTAAGCATCTGCTGGCTCCCTCTGGTACTTAGTCCAGGGCTCCTTGGATAGCTGAACAGTTGGGGCAGCAAGGTAGGGCAGTGGATAGAATGCTGGGCCTAGAGTCAGGATGACCTGAGTTCAAATCTTGCCTCAGACTCTTCCTGGCTGTGTGACCCTGGACAAGTCACTCATCCTCTGTCTGCCTCGCTTCCTCAGCTATAAAATGGGGATAATAATAATAACACCTACCTCCCAGGGTTATTGTGAGGATCAAATGAGAGAATATTTGTAAAGTGCTTAACATTTTCTAAGTGTTCTCTTCCTCTCTTCTGTGCCTCACTGTTCTCATCTATAAAATGGGGATAATAATAGTACCTACATCACAGGATTGTGAGGATCAGATAAGATAATATCTGTAAAACATTTTGCAAGCCTTAAAGCAATATATAAATGCTAGCTGTTATTATTTTACTCGTTACTATTATTGAATTGTGATTGAATATTTTTTCAAAGGATCTTTGCTGCGTTTAGAAGGGATATCCCAATTAATCTCCCCACGATGTAGCACCTCAGGAAGCCCCTTGTACTTGTTAAACTCCCAGAAAATTCAGTCCAGTTTCAAGGTACTCCATGGGCTCACTTTTACTGGAAACCCTAGCTTAGCAGCAGCCACAGGAAGTTAGTTGAAAGCAATGACATTGAGTGAAATAGTAAGTATGCTAAGAAGTATATAGGAAGAAGTAATAACAACAGTAAGAAGAATAGTAAGGCGAATAACAATAGGACATTCCGTTCTTGAACTTGGGGCACACTTTTCCCCCCAAGTATATATATTATCAATGGGAGGAGTGGCCATGTGTAACCTGGGAACGTCAGTGGAGGAGTAACTACCATGTCTGATGTCACAGGACCAGAGAATGCCTTTTTGATATCTGTCCCTGGGCTTTGACTCTTCAGGGCTACCTGGCCGCCATCCTAGCTCTGGTCTTCCGTGATGAAGTGACTAGAAAGCCTCTCCCTAATTAAAGCAGACTGACATCCCTTTAGTCATAGAGGCTACCTGCCGCATCTAACTAACAAAAGCCCAGCGAGTGCCCCCAAACTAAGTTTTTTAGCTCTTATGTCTGGGACTAGATAACAGCCCTTTGTCCTAAACAGCTACTGGACTTGGGTTTAGAAATTCCTGTGATTCTCTGACTTGACACACAAATAGTCTGGGCTAGAACAGGGTACATGAAGGAACATGGCCAGTTTCCTCCCTACAATTGGCCTGCATATTCCTGTATCTATTCTATAACATTCTTTAACAAATGTAAAGCACTCTGCAACCCTTAAGGGGCTCTTTAAGGGCTATTATTATTGTTATCATTATTATTAATACTATTACTTCAGTGCCAGCCAAAACTTCCTTGTTTCCCTGCTCATGCAATTGCTATTATAGTTTACTTCCTTCACACTTGTGTGTTCTCCCACGCTGAGTGGGAGCTCTTGACCCATTACATGGATAGATGCATTTCCCATGTATTTTTTTTGTGTGTGTGTTCAAAAGCAACAAAACCTGGGGACATCCTCATGATTTGTTTCTAGTTATTATTTAACTTTGAAAAATTGAAACTCTCATAATCGGTACTGGTAACATTATGGAACTGAAGGCCTGATGATCTATGGGATGTATACCCAAGGGCACATGTGGGCCTGTAGTTTCTTTTAGTGGTTCATGGGCAAGGTGACGCTGTTATACCCCCTCCTCATCACTTGTGAGAGAAGCCACCTGCTTGGAGAGATGACAGCAGACATATGCTTACACTCCCCCCACTTGCAAGTGGAAAGAAGGCCAGGCTAGGAGTCAGGAGATTCTGCCTTTGTGTAATGTGGTTTCTTTTGTCCTCTCCCTGACTTAGTTTCTTAATCTGTAAAAGTAGGATTAATAAGATTGGCACAATCCTTCACAGGGGCTGTGACGTTAAAATGAGATTTTATGTGATTTCACAATAAAAGCTTGAAATTGTTCGATGAGTGCCTGGTGGTGTTATATTAGTTGGATGAAAAGGTTTATGATCCTATCCACAAAGACCTTGGGCATTTTATCCAGAGCAGGCAGGTCATTTCTGGATTCTCTGTCCTCCATTCAACCCAGGGTTGCTAATCCTCCTGGGGGGAAGTCTTATTTCAGTCCAGACCTTTGGGATCTCTGAGCCATTCAGATTGCCCAGAGGAGCCCCTGAACTAGTTCACCTATTGGGGAATGCTTTGACCTTTTCTGGCTATCTCATTTTTGGAGTAGACCCCCAGGTAAGCTCAGGATTTGTTCAGTTTCCTGAGCCCTACTGTGGTTTGGGACGGTAATAATAATAGCTCACATTTCTTTGGGGGCTTCACTCACAATAACCCTTTGAGATAGGTGGTATATAAAATATTAATCTCATATAAGATAAAGAATGCTTTGCTCATCTGACATACAGAAAAGCAAGGGCTAAGTGTCTCACAAGTATGAAGCATGATTCAAAGCAAGGTCTTCTAATGCCAAGAACAGTTCTTTCCACCATAATGTATTGTCCCACACTTACCAGTACTTAGAACCGTATCTCAGAATCTCCTTAGAGGCTTTCCAATTGCTAATTCTTTAATAATATGGGCCCAGGGTGTCCTTCAGTCATTATGTGCTATTTGGAATGGGCGTTGTGGTTTTGAGACACTCATTTGGCTCATTGATTCCAGATGGGCAAATCCCAGCAGTAAGATAGGAGGCTCAATACCCCTAGGTCATACCTAAACATGACCCGGCCTGCCACGAGCTGCCCAAAGTTTGGAAAAGTTGGGTTTTTTTCAGTTCACATGATGGCAAAGAAATTCAGAATTAGAATGTTGGTTAAACTCATGTAAAATATATAACTTGCGGTATTAAATGCCTTATAAACTTTCATGAAAAACTTCACTCTTTAGGTTTTAAAACCATTTTTGTTACGGCGTATAAAAGCTGAAGTAGAAAAGAGCCTACCTCCTAAAAAGGAAGTAAAAATTTACCTTGGCCTAAGTAAGATGCAAAGGGAATGGTAAGCTTTTTAATTTCATTTAACGTTCATATGTTTGTCCAAGAGAATTTCGTTTCTTTGAACTTTACCTGGTAGCAGTTTGCTTTTGTTTTTATTTTGTAACTTACATTTTATGTTCTGTTTTCGGAAGTAAAATAATTTCAGATTTAAAGTTTTTAGAATAAGCTTGACATGAAATTTTCCTATCAAGGTTGAAGAAAGCTGATTGTGGATAATACATGAATGGACAATGAGATAGGATTAGCCGTGTGTAAGTATACAGGAAATTAGGAGGTAGTCTTAATGAACCACAGGCCGGACAGGTCAGCGATCTATTAATGGCATTAAGAAAAGAACAGAATCTCACTCACTTTAATGAGAATATAACACCAGCTTTGAGGAGCCTCTGTGGTTGTTGCGGATAAGGTCTTTAATCCCCTTGTGACTTGTGCAAAAGGTTGAGAGAAGAAATTATTTACAGGATTGGAAATGACCTCTGAAGGACGATTGGAAAAACTGAGGATGTTTAGTTAAAACAAGGGAAGCCAAGGCCGGGAACTTGATAACCATATGGAAGTATAAGAAAAAGCATTGTATAGCACATAGCTACCAATGGCTCTCCATTTGCATTGTTGGATAAAGCAAGGAGAAATGGGCTTAAATGATAGAAAAATAGCTTAAATATGTACTTGTTTCCCTATAACTTTTCTTTTCTCTTTGCTCTTTTTTTTTCCTGATTGAATTTAATCTTGCTAGAAATCTCATTTTAAAATGGAAATTTAAAATAGCTACCAGGGGAATATTGCTTTATGGTATTAGTGAGCCTTTTACTAAATCATTTCATTATACCGTACTTCTGAAATTGCAGGTACACGCGGATCCTGATGAAAGATATTGACATTTTAAATTCGGCCGGAAAGATGGATAAAATGCGCCTGCTGAATATTCTCATGCAATTGCGAAAGTGCTGTAATCATCCCTACCTGTTTGATGGTGCTGAACCTGGCCCGCCGTATACAACTGACACCCATCTTGTCAATAACAGTGGCAAAATGGTGGCTTTGGATAAACTCTTGTCAAAACTCAAAGAACAGGGTGAGAAAAACAAAGCAGAATGTTGCTTTTCCTCAGCATATGTTTGCGAACTTTTTGTGCAAGAATAGCATTGTGCAGTTTTGAATCTTCCTTGTCCCTGGAATAAAGTTAATGAGTTAGAAACACTGCCATGCATTTTTGAATGGGATGTTGAGCACCTTAAAATGTATGCTGTACGTTCACGTGGCATGTCATGTTCTAATTTTGAAATGACCTTTTCAGTCTTGCGTGTTTTTATTTTGTGAACGTGTTTAGGGTCAAGAGTCCTCATTTTTAGCCAGATGACACGATTACTGGATATCCTGGAGGATTATTGCATGTGGCGGGGTTATGAGTACTGTCGGCTTGACGGCCAGACACCGCATGAGGAAAGAGAGGTGAGAAAGGCTAAATAGCTGTCCACTATGACAGCTCGATTAAGCAGCGTGTTTTCCCTTTGTGTTTTCTACTTTTAAGTCATTTTCCATTTAGGGTGTTGTTGTTTTTGCTGGGAACATTTAATCCTGTACTGCTCTAGGACTTCGGATGGTGTTGTGGACATGGGACTGGGAGCTGGACAACCTGGAAGACCTGGGTTCTGCTCCAGCTTCTGCCACTAATTTGCCATGTGATCTTCTCCTCTCTGGTTCTGTTTCCTCATGTCTGTAGGGAGGGTGCCCTCTTAAAGTCCCTTCCAGCTCTGCCATTCTTTTACTTTGCTGTGTTTGCATCTTCCTGATGATGGCTGTAGTTTGTCTACCCCTAGGTCATTCTCCCTCCTTTCTCAAGGAGTTCAGCATATGGAATGCCCCCTTCCTCTCCTCCCCAGCTTCTGCCCTTAATGTCCACGTCAGTGGTCCCTCAAACTCCCATTTCCCTCAGCTCCCTTAAGCCCCATGACCTTCTCCTTCACTCCAACTCAGCCATGCCTAGGGAGAGCCACATCCTGGATCTTGCCATCACCAACCATGTCCCTAATTAGAAGCTCTGACATTCCTTTCTCTGACAATAGCTTCCTATCCCTCCTATACCTGTTCTTTGCTCTCATCGAGGCCTCTATCCCTCCACCCCCCAGTACTTTCTCAGGCTATCATACCTGCTCAGATGTCACTCACCTCCCTTTCCACCTCAACCCAGTAGCTGGGCATTTCAATTCTTCATTGTCCTCTGTTCTTGAATCCCTTCCCTGCTGTCCCACGTGGGCTTTATTTGCTGGACCTCATCCCTGGATTCTTCCCACAACCCACTTCCTCTGCCTCTCCCCATGTGCCACTGAAGAAACCAGAGGAAATCTCACAACTGTGTTGTTGATATACATTACAAATTCTGTTATCCAGACTCAACTGGGCCCTCACTGGAGCAAGGCAGTTCTTTCATTTCTCTGGAATTGACTCTCTGTCTCATGCTCTATAGAAGCTATTCTAAACCTTCTCTTGCCCCCCTCAAACTCCCCATATCTCTTCTTTTCCCCTCTCTTTCAGCTGAGGACCTCGCCTCTTACTTAACTGAGAAGATAAGATATTCAATGGGAGCTCCCTCTTCTCCCTTTCTCTTCATTTTGGAGCCCCTTGATATTATCTCTGCCTCTCTCCTTCTTTCCTCAAGTCTCTGAAAAAGGCCAACTCCTCTATCTGTGCACGCGATCCCATCCCTTCCTGTCTTCTCTAGCACACCACATCCTCACTGTCTTATATCTTCACCGTTAGTTCCTTCTCTGTTGCCTTCAAGCATGCCCAGATCTCCTTCGTCCTTAAAAACCCCCTTCACTGGCCCAGACCATCCCTTTAAGGTAGGCCACATCTTTTATTCCTTTCTCAGCTAAATTGTACTCTTGGCCTACTTAATGTCCCGTCCCTCCTCCACCCTTTGCAGTCTGATGCAGTCTGTATTGTCACTCAGCTGAAGCTGCTCTTTCCAAAGTTGTTGTCAGGAAAATGCTTTGTAGGGTGCTATGTAAATGTCTGAGAGGCAGTGTTGCACAGTGGTTGGAGAGCTGACCTCTGATCTGGGAGGACCTGGATTCAAATGTTGCCTTTGACACATACTGACTGTGTGACCTGGGGTAAGTCACTCAACCTCTCAGTGTTCTAGGCATCTCTCTAAGACTGTAAGTTCAGAAAAAGTGCCAGTCTGCTTTGGGAAAGGGAATGTCCTCATCTGCAAGTTACTCATATTGATGAAATCCCAGCTATAGGTTCTATCCCTAAAGAAATGTCTACTGTCACTAAATACCATGGGCTGTGTCTGAATTGTAGCTCTACAATTGTCCTTTTTGTCCCCATTATTCTGAAAAAAAATTTCTAGTTGAGTCTCATTATCTGCTTTGGTTGGTGCAGCCTTCCTTTAATTTGTGTGGACCTTCTGCATGTATGAATGACTTTGTCAGTGAGCCATATTTTCTATCTGTAACTTTAATCAGGGTATAATTTTCTCTTTTTAAAAAAAATCATTTTTATTTAGAGGCAGTTTGGCATATTGGAGCTGGGTTGAAAACCTTTTCTGGTGACCCTTCCTAGCTGTGTGACTTTGGGCAGCTCATTGAATTTCTGTGTGCCCCAGACCTCTCCCATTGATTTATCCCCTAGGTCTGACAAGAGTTTCCCAAACTGACAAAATCACTCATCCTTCATGTGAGTTCACCTGTATTTTATTGTGGCTTATAATGGTCACTTCCCAATCATTCCCTCTACCCCATAGAATCTTCTTTTATAAAAAAGAAAACCAGTTAGGCCAACCCAGACAACGAAGTGGAGATCCCACGGCTTCTGTATGGATTGGGGAGTATTCTTTATCATTGACCCCTTGGCACCAAGATTAGCTGTGACCTTGGTGGCCACCCTCTGAATGGCCTGAGGCACTTGCCCAATTCTTATCTCTTAACCTCTTCAGTAGGCCCAGAGGGAAGCCTCCTCCCCTCTTCCTTTATCTTTTCTTCATATCCCCAGCTGCTGAAGCTTCTCTCTTCTCTTCTCTCTTTTCTTTTTTTATTCTTCAAATAGCAAACATCCATTTTCTTTCCTCCCAATTTAAAATACAAAAAGAAAACCTCTACCATTATGACAGATATACATAGGCAGACAAAAAGAAGTTCCCACACTGGTCCATGTCTCATTCTTACATCTTGAGCCCATCAACACTCTATCAGGAGGTGGGCAGCATAAACCATCAAGTTATTTAACTTGGTTCTTTTGTGTCTCCAGATAAAACACCTTGTCTTGACCAACTCTGGTTTCATCCATCTTTTCAATGAGAGAACAAGTTCTAAAATGATATTTCTTTTATTTCCCAGCCAGTAGGATGCAGGGTTGAGGTTTCTGCCATTCTTCCACTCTCCCCCGGTCGGCTTCTCTTCTCCCCTTGGGCCCGCATTCCTGTTCTTCTTCTACAATACCATACTGATACTGTGTAGACGGAATCACAATTTCGTATTTGTTCATCTTAAGCTATCTGTGTGTCTTTTTTTTTGTGTAGTTGTCTCAAATGATATGTATGCTTCTGGAGCAGAGGTTCTCAACTTGGGATCTGTGAATGTTGATGGGAAAAAAGGGCCATTTTCATTTGTAATCTCATGTATTTTATTTGGTGAATTTAAAAACATTATTCTGAGAAGGGGACATTAGCATCACCCAGGCTGCCCGTGAGGTCCAGAACCCCCGAAAGGTTAAGATTCCCCATCCTAAAAGTTAGGACTGACATCCCTGTGATTTGCTTTCTATGGTTTCCCGTACAGTATAGTACGTAGAAGCACATCTTGAAATTGAAAGAAAGCATTATAAAGTGAGTTTGATAATGGTATCTGTGTTTTAGAGACTGCTGCTATTGTGATACCACATTTTTCATCTTTCTCTTCTTTCTTTTTAATCAAAGGAAGCTATAGATACCTTTAATGCTCCTAACAGTACCAAATTCATTTTTATGCTGAGTACAAGGGCTGGAGGTCTTGGAATTAATTTGGCCACTGCGGATGTGGTTATATTATATGATTCAGACTGGAATCCACAGGTTGATCTGCAAGCTATGGTAAGTCATCTTGAAATGGGTCTGTACATTTGGGCTCAGTGGTCCTGGTTGTAATGTGGTTCCCAATGCTCTGACGTAGTCTGAATTGCAAGCAGGAGTGTGTTAGTAAATGTTTAACTACTGTCTCTCCAAAAAAAAAATTCACACAAACACACTTTAAGGGTTGATTTTCATTGTGAACATTTCCTCTATCACTTCCTCAAGTCTGGACAATCACCAAAGTAGTAGCTCAAGTCCTAATTTGGAACCTTCACCGATTTCTGAGGTGGAAGTGATCACAGTGAAAATTTAACAATCATCTGAGTTTCGGCTGGCTCTGGCACACCCCTGGATGTGAGGCAGGGGAGTGTTTTGGATTATGGTCAACTCTTAATTACCCATGTGTGGACAATCTGCTTGTGACATTACCCACTCACTGTTCATTTTGTCATTATGTTCATTAATGCCAGCCTGGCTATGTAGCACCCTCCCAGGCCTCTTCTCATCTCTGCCCAGCTGCCGTGTCCTCGGGAAATGAAGATATTTATCATGATTAGCAGTGGGCTGGATAGAGTGGAGGACTCAGGGAGAGGCTCTCACTGGTCTTAAACTACTGAAGTTTGGTGGTCCCTCTTCATCCTCGTGGGAGGTGCGTTTGGGATGTAGGGCAAGTATAACACATTTGATTCTAAGTTCCTAGGGGTCAGAAATCTGTTGTAGCAGAAAGATAAATGAATTTGAAGCCAGAGGACCTGGGTTTAAATTGCAATTTTGCCATTTACTACATCGATCATGGGCAAGTCATTTTTCCTCCCTGGACCTCAGTTTCCCCTTCTGTAAAGTGATGGGGGTAGACTTAATGGCTTCTGGGGTCCCTTCCAGCTCTGCAGTCCATCCAATAGTCTCTCTTCTGAGTGAAGCCCTCCTATTCTTACCTTACCCAGAGCCTCCCTGCACCTTTTTTGCAGTCTTTTCTAAGCCTTTGGCCCAAGTGGGTCCATCCCCAGCTTTCTCAAGGCAAAGGAGTACAAATATTTTTGACTGTTTTCTGCTTTTCCCATTCTCCCGACCTTTGTCTGCATTTGTTTCTTTCTGCTTGTAACTGGCGTTATCCAACATTCCTGTGTCTTTCGTTGGCAAGGCAGGCTATTGGTTTCCTTTGAGGTACTGCATTCCCCTTGGATTGTGTAGATCATTACTGGTTGACTTTGTCTACCTTGTTCTTTTTCTACCCAAATCAATTAGCTGTTTTAGAAAGGATTTATTAGAGTCCTTCCTGGCTATTCAGGGCCCTGAGTTTGTTGAAGAAGGTGGGTGGGGAGAAGAATGGGAGGAGGAAGAGAGAAGGCCTTCTTTGGGACTGCTGGGGGTGGTTTAGAATGTATTGTCCCCTGGCAGGTCTGGAAAGCAGATGGGGGGCACATCTGGCACCTGTTTTCTGGACCATATGCCTTACGGTCCAATGTTCAAGACATTAGGTTAAAGGTATTTTTTGAAGCTAAAAAATGCTTCCCCAAATCATCAGGGGCATTCCACAAATAGGATAGTTAAGAGTTGAGCATCATTTTATATATACCACATTACTTGAAAAAAAAGTGTGAAAAAGGGAAAAAAAGTGAACGTTATGAATATGAAAACACAGCTGGTTTATCCCTCTCATGTCTAACAGGTTTGTAAAAAATCCCTGATAGTCAATTTATTGATTCTTTTAAAAAAATCAACCTGTTAATGCACATAACTAGTATGCCTAACATTAGAGCTGGGAGGGAACTCAGAGGCCAATCTAGTCCAATCCCCTCATTTTACAGAGGTGGAAACTGACGCCTAGGAAGGGGAAGAGACTTGCCCAAGGTCACACAGCTCTTTGGAAATTAGAATTGTGGTGAACTCTGTTAGAGATCAAAGAAAGAAAGACAAGACCTCTGGAGTAGGAGTAAAGACAGATTTGAGGTTTGAATCCCAGTTATGATTCTCAGTAAGTGTATGACTATGGGCAAGTCACTTAAGCTTCAGTTTGCTAATCTGTAAAATGGGCATGATAATCCCTGTATAGTTTTCACTCTCATCCACAGTGTCAAAAACCCTTCTTCCCACTTCCCAGCCTTTGTGTATCGGATTCATAAGAGGATGTAGCCTGGAGTTGAGACCTGAATAAATATTCATTGATTTACTGATGGATGAGAAAATCCTGCATAAATTGTGATCTGCCTTATCAGAGGGATTTTCCACACCTGAGAGATCCCAGAGCATCCAAAAAGCCAAGACAGCCTTTGCCCTAGATATCTCACAGTTACCAGTGCACTGGAATCGAGTCTCCAACATCTTTCCTGTCCAGTAGGATTAGAGTTTATAAGAAAGATACCATGCCCGTGCTTTGTTATTGTATTTCTTGGATCCTTGTAAAAAGTTTTGTCCAGAAATAGAGCTGCTTCTGTGCCCTGATCATACTCATAGCTAGTATTTCTATACAGGGTTTGCAGATTTATCAGTGTTTATCTCCATTTGGTGGTTCATTTTTCTCTCTGACCCCCCTTCCCCCCATTCTTTTTACGCTGCCTGCTTCTGTGGCTCGTGGGCATTTAAAAGCCCTTTAAAGGTCAGCCTCTCCCTGGCTGCTCAGAGATCTCTGATAAGGTGTGTGTCCTTTGCCTTTGTCCTGAGCCCTAGATCACCCCCCTCCCCCCAATCATCTCACCTTACAGAACAGTTAAGCCCTCATTGCCCCTGTCTCTCATCTCCCTCTGGGTTCAAATTACACTAAAAATTCTCCTTTAGATAAACAGCAAAAAGTAGGAGGCCTCCAGCTTTGGCTCTGTGCATATATTTTTACTACTTTGTGGAAAGTCCATCTGCTTTGTTACTGGCTTTTGTAATTCATTATTAGTGTGAAAGTCAGTTTACCTGTAATTAGTTACATGGTCCCTAAGTCCCCTCCCTCAGCCTCATCTGTTGGAGCCTTTACCGTTTTTCTTTCCTGATTTCTTTATCTCCAGGAAAGTATTTCCAGATATTTCTATTCTCTCCACCTAGAATATGCTTCCTGTGGATGGGGAGCCTTATAAGTATAGGCAGCAGACACTTCCTTCCTGAAGGGAAAAAGACAGACGGTCCATTTTTTAGGATTTTAGCCAAGCGTAGACAATCAGCCAATGTGCCAGGCACTTTGCCTTTAAGCACTGTGGGTAAAGACCAAAAATGAAAGCAGCCCTTGCCCTCGAGAAGCTTACATTCTAATGGGGGAGGCAACATGCGTATAAGTCAGTACTGACAAGATAAACTGGAAAGGTGCCTTGTGATGGCAGACACCAATGGAACATGAAGTTTTGGCTGAGGCTTGCCAGGAATCCAGGGATTCTAGGAAACTCGAGTCAGGAGGGAGAGCATTGAAAGCCAGTGCAAAGACTCAGAGACTAGAGATAGGGAGTCATGCATAAGGAACAGCAAAGAGGGCCAGTAGGACTGGCTAGCAGAGTACATGAAGGGAAGTGTTGCCCTATTTTTTTTTTCTTTTTGGGCTAGGCAGTGGGGTTAAGTGACTTGCCCCAGTGTCACACAGCTATTAAGTGTTATGTATCTGAGGTCAAATTTGAACTCAGGTCCTCCTGAATGCAGGGCCAGTGCTCTATCCACTGTGCCACCTAGCTGCCCCTTTTTATGCTATTTTTTTTGGGGGGGGGGGCTAGAGGGAAGTGTTGTGTAAAGAGGTTGAAAAGCTAGAAAGAAGGCCAGATAGAAAGCTTTTGCTGCCAAACATAGGAGTTTACATTTGATCCCAGAGGTAAATAGGGAGCCAGTGAAGATCATTGAGTGAAATGGGGTAAAGGGGGAGTGACACATTCAGCCCGGTGCTTTTAGGAATAACACTTTGGCAGCTGAGTAGAGGGTGGGTCGGAATAGAGAGAGACTTGAGGCAAGGAGCTGGATCCAGAATCCCCAGTAACATCCATTTGGTTTATTTCTACTAGGATCGAGCTCATCGTATTGGTCAGAAGAAGCCAGTACGGGTGTTCCGGCTTATTACTGACAACACCGTTGAAGACAGGATTGTAGAAAGAGCAGAGATAAAATTGAGGCTTGACTCTATTGTAATACAGCAAGGTATCAAATGCTTTTCCATTATATTCATAAATATGTGTGTGTGTATGTGTATGTGTGTGTGTGTTTGTATAAATCTCCATATAACTCCTTAGTTGGCTCTTGCAAAAATTTGCACTTTCAAGGCCTCTATTTTTAAGATGTCTTTTTTGCTAAGATTGGTCAGGGCTTGAAATAGAGGGATGGTTTTAGCAATGAGAAAAAAGAATCTTCCTTGAAAACATAATTATTTTAAAGCTGTCTTATCTGCCTATGACATTTAATATGCAGCTTGTGTATTCGAACCTCAGCTAACCTGATATTGGTTTATTTATAATAGCATGTAATTTGGAACACCTGGTATCCAGGGGACAAAACGTTCTGTTGTTTTTTCTGCAAACAGTTATAAGGGAGTGCCTGCTCTCAGAGGAAAATCTGAACCCCCTAAATGATGCCACTCTAGGTTTTAAAAGAATTCTAGACAAAGAATGTAATGCCAGAATAGGAAACGGGCCAGAGGAGAGGCTTCAGAAGAAACAGCTTTGAGGAAAAATTAAAGCTAGCCAACTTTCTAAACTTTCCAAAGTCTACTCATGATTTAAATGTGATCGTGTTCGATTGCAAGATGGAATGTAGCTGGATAGAGAGTTCTCTCTGAAGACAGAGAAGACCTGGGTTTGAGTCTTATCGGTAACACATCCCAGCTTTGTGAGTGTGGGTAAGTCACTTAACCTCATGGTGCTTCCTATGACTCTCTGAGTCTAGAAGTAACTCTTCTTGTCTGATGTAGGTACAAGGAGTTTCTGTACAGTGAGTTCTCCACAATGATGAAATAGGTTAGCACCAAAGAAACAGACGCATAAGTACTTTCTCATACAGACTTTGTAGTACAATCCATTTAAAGACCACTATATTTACTTTTGATATTAGGTAGGCTCATTGATCAACAGTCTAACAAGTTGGCAAAAGATGAGATGCTTCAGATGATCCGTCATGGAGCCACGCATGTTTTTGCTTCCAAAGAAAGTGAACTGACAGAGGAAGACATTACAACTATTTTAGAGAGAGGAGAAAAGAAGGTCAGTTAAAGGAGAATTGAAAAATGGAACTTTCCCTCTTAATTATGTTCGTTTTATGTTTATTATGATGACTTGGTGTTTGTTTTAGTCAGGGGCAATTTGCTTTGCTTTTCATGGGAGGGAATAAAAACTCAACTTGCCTGTTGAAAAAAATTGGAAATGGATGTACTTCAAAGCCAATTCATTATTGTTATTTCCATATTATAGGGCTGGCCTGCTTGTAGCCCCTGGTACTGGGGGAGGCTGAGGCTGGCGGGTCACTTGAACTCTGTAGTTCTGGGTGGCAGTAGGGTTTCTAAAGCCCATTAGGCATCTTTCCTAAGTCTTGCCAGCAGCATGGTGGACCCCTGGGAGCTGGGGCCAGCAGGCTGCTCAAGGAGAGGGAGCCAGTACATATTGGCAAATGGGGCAGGTCAAAGCTTCCACGGTGGTTCAACCATCAGCGGCTGCTTTGTGTCCAGCTAGGGTGATAGAGGGAAACCTCTTCTCTACCAAAAATGGGGGAAAAAAATGATGTTTTAGGACAACAGCTTAAACAACAATTTTATTGATCCTTTTCTTTTTATACCACAGCTTTTGCCTAGTTTCCTAGTGTCTCCCTATGGACTACACCCATGTGTGTATTCTTCCTGTGCTTATTGCTGAAATGGCAGAGGATGTTCATATTAACCTAATTTCTACTAGTCTGCATTTGAATATTTCCACTAGTCCACGTTAAGGAGTCATTCCAGCAGTGGTTTGTGTTTCTTAGTTTATTGAATACTGTACTGCCAGGTTCGCTTGCAACAACTTTTTAAAAAGCTGTCTGAGGCACTGGATTTGAAGTTACTCATTATCGATCTATTGGAATACTTTGAATTCGCAGAACCTCTGAGTTAGAAGGGTCTTTAGGCCATGCACTACAGTTGCCACCTAAGCCTGAATTGCTTAGAGCAGAGGTAGGGAACCTGTGGCCTCGAGGCCACAGTTTGGCTTCAAAGGGCCTCAACGCTGAAAGTTCCCCACCCTGGCCTAGTCCACACAGGGCAGCCCATTTCACTTGGGGCTAGTACTAGTCATTTTTGGAACAAACATTTTTCACCATTAAGGGTAGTGGAACCAGCACACATGCGGCAGTCTTGGATGCGTTTCTGGAGGAAATGGGAGGGGTACTAGAGAAATCAAAGATGGCAAAAGCAGTTGAACTAGACTAGGTATACACAGAGGAGATCTGTGCTGGCAGTGTGACTACTTTGAGGGCCTTGAGGAATCGCCTCTGAAGGTATCTGAAGGTAGGGATGGGACGATACCTGCCTGAGGATGTAGAGAAAACAGGACAGCCTAGCCCTTGCCCCTTTCTGGTCCCCCTTTTTGGCTCAGGCAGACCCTTCCACAGCTATCTCACAGTCCTTGGGTTCATCCCTCCCATATCTCAGCCATATCCCAGATTTGCTTGTTGAATCGCATATTTTCCCATTTGGGTTTAATTTTTTTTGCTACTACATTAAATTACAAGAGCATTACTTAAGTGTTAGAATATTATAGTTTTTACTATTATAATTTTGTATGCAATTTAACTAACATAAGATTTATGTTTCTAAGGTCCTTGATTGACTTTGGCATATCTTAGGGTAGCATATATCCTACCATTGTACCATTTTGCCCCCAGTGTGCCTTTATCACCTACAAGAATAAACTAATTCAAAGAATATGGATCGAGCAAAGATTCTAATAGAAGCGAGCAGCCACTGGTTGTTAGGAAAGCAGAAATGAGAAGAAAGGGTCAATAGTGAATGAATAATACTTGGGGACAAATAGAATTTCTATTCAGGTTAATATTTGATAAAGGGTTATTTTAGTATGTCTTTTGGACTCATCGTATCTTGCAAGTGGGCCAGCTTGGACATTGCAGGTCAAACCCTGGTGTTTAAATAGAGTTGGAAAATGTTGATAAGAGATAAAAGAAGAATTTGGCCATCTGAACATGCTTTACTGTGTGTGTTTAGACTGCGGAAATGAATGAACGGCTGCAGAAAATGGGGGAGAGCTCTCTTAGAAATTTCACCATGGACACCGAAACAAGTTTGTACAACTTTGAGGGTGAAGATTATAGAGAAAAACAAAAGGTAACTTTGGATGTGGGACCGAAAGGCCTTGAGTTTAACAATTGTCCTTTCTAAACATCGATTTTCACTGTCTCTCACATTCTTCCCCTTTTCTTCACTCCTTTGGCCACCAGCCTAGTTTAAGCCCTCATTACTTTTTGCTTGGACTGGTTTAATTGCCTTCTACACTGTTTCCCTGGTTCCAGTTTTCTCTGGTCCATCTGCACAGTTTCCAAAACCTTCCTCCTGAGACACAGGTCTGACCATAGCATTCCCTCCCTTCAAGATCATTCAATGGTTGCCTCTTACCTGGGGGGCAATATACACATTCCTCTGCCTGATATGGAAAGCCATCCACAGCCTCCAGCAAACCCCTCCAGACATTTCATATTGCTCTCCATCCTATAGTCTTAAATCCTGACAAATTATGAGCTGTTCTCTGAACTCTGCATTTAGTTTCCCATCACCACACCTTTGCAGCAGCAAAATCTGTAATGCGTGTTCTGCTTTCCTCAGCCTTTTAGATTTCTTCTTTTCCTCGAAGGCTTAACCCAAGTACTGCTACCTCCATGAAGCCTCCCTGATCCCCTTGTTTTATTAGTCATCTCTCTCTCTCTCTCATGTTAGCTTGCTTTTGCTTTTCTGTGTCCATTTGTGCCCCACAACAGAATATAAGTTCCTTGAGGAGAAGGAATGTTTCATTTTTTGTCTCTGTACCTTTAGTACCTAATGAAAGGCCTTGTATGCACGAGTCCTCAGACGACCTGTTCGTTCCTCATGTTGGGGAACCCTCTCACCAATCCAGATCACTGCTCCCCTGACTCAGTGGAGAAGCCATGGGGACTTAGCCAAGGCACCCCAAAGTTAAGTGACAGTGCCCAGGGTTACGTAGCTAGTCTGTGGCTGAAGCATGCTTAGACCTCAGGGCTCCCTGATTCCAAGCTCAGCACTCCACCCATCGTACTGGGTTTCTTATCTTTGTCTTGTACTTCCTAAGTTGCTCCAGCATTATTTATTGAAGTGAATTAATTTAAAAGAATATAAGTCCACATGGGATCATCAGATGGTGTCTCTGGGGCTGGGTGGGACCTTTGAGGCTATCCAGTCCAGCTCCCTTATTTTACAGATGAGGAGCTGGGGCCCAGAGAGGAGGTGCTTTGCCCATGGTCATACATTTTACCAAGTGTTTGAATGGGGATTTGAATCCAAGTCTTACTGAGTTCAACATTTGTTTGCCTCACCACTAAAATGACCAAGCATTTACTAAGTGCCCACTATGTGCCAGGTACCAGTCTGTGTTAAACCCTAGGATTACAAACAAAGGGAAAAAATTCTGAGGGAGCTCACTGTCTGATGGGAGAGACAGCATTCAAGTAACTCTGTACAAACAATCTATATCTAGAATGAATTGCAGATAATCTCCGAGGAAAGGCACTAAGCTTAATGAGGACCAGGAAAGGTTTTTTGCAGAAAGTGGGACTTTAGCTAAGACTTGAAGGATACCACGGAAACCAGGAGGCGGAGATGAAGAGGGTGAGAGTTCCAGGCTTGATGGACAGCCCAAGCAAATACCCAGTCAGGAGGTGGAGTGTCCTTTGCAAGGCACAGCCAGGAGGCCAGTGACACTGGATCCCAGAGTTCGTGGAGGGGAGGAAAGTGTGAGAAGACTGGCAAGGTAGGAGGGGGCCAGGTTAAGAGAACCTTTAAGAGCCAAACTGAAGATTACGATCTAAGAAATGAAAGGAAATATTAGTAAACGGGTTTATTTGGTTTGGTTGGACCTGTGCTTTAGGAAAATCATCTTGGCAGCTGAGAGGAGGCTGGACTGGAGAGGGGAGAGACTTGAAGCAGGCAGCCCCCCCACCCCAGCTGCCCATTGAAATAGTGCAGGCACGGAGTGATGTGGCCCCACACCAGGGTACTGGCAGTGTCAGAGGAGACAAGGGGGGCTTCCAAGATGCCGCAGAGGTGAAATTGGTGGGCCTTGGCAACAGGTTGGATACAAGAGAATAAGAGTATGTGAAAAGGCCAGGATGACTCCGAGATTGGGAGCCTGAGGGACTGGGAGGATGGTGGTGTCCCCTATAGTAATAGGAAAGAGGTCTCTGCGTGTGTGTGTGTGTGTGTGTGTGTGTGTATGTGTGTATGTGTGTATGTATGTATGTATGTATGTGTGTGTGTATATGTGTATTTGGGTGTGTCTGGGTGTGTCTGTGGGGAGGGCAGGTTAAGGGTAAAGATAATGAGACCTGTTTGGGGCATATTGAATTTGAGATATCCCTGGGTTATTCATTTTGATATAAGATGGTCCAAAGGACTTTGAAGATGATTTAGTCCAACCATCATTTTATAGCGAGACCCCATCCCCAGGTATGGACTTAATAAAGAAATGCTAAAAGAACTTTTTGGTAGTATCATCTATAAAGCAGCACCACATAATGGAACCCAGAGACAGCATCATCAGGGCAACTTTTAGTATAAATTTAAAGTCATCATTTTGTAAACTGGCCTAATGAAAATTATTAAAAATTTTTTCTTATGTTTGTCAATTTTATGAAGAATCAGAGCTTTTACAAACATCTTAGTTTACAGCACAACCCGTATGTTGACGATGCTCAGTCACTATCCCTGGCTCTTGACTTCCTGTTGAGATGGAGGCCTAGCTGCATTTTAACTGTAGAATTACCCTCGTAATGAGCAAAGCTTCTTTTTACATTATCCTTTACTCATTATTTGTGACTTTTATGAATTTGAAAATTGTGCCCAGGGGCTTATTGGTACTAAGAATGTTTTCTACACTTGAGGGAAAAAATAAATTTTCTAAGAGGTTAAATATCAGTGAAAAAACATTCAGTTTCATTCCTAAGAAGCAAATGGATTTTTAAAAAAGTAACTTAGTTAATTTTAATCTACTTGGGTATTTTATGTGAAGTTATTAATTCTCTTAGCAATAAATTCCATGTCACACAGACATAGAGGGATCTATAGCTCTAGCCTGAGCATTTTGTTATAACCTCAGTTATATTATAAAATTTAAGAAGAAGTCATTTATACACAAGATAATAAATAAAGAGGATGTTTTCTCCAAAGACTTTGAGGCAAGATTACATTGAAATTTTGTGACTTTGATTTTTCTAGCAAGGTTCTCAAAATGTGGGAAATATTCCCCTGAGAAGACAACTGAAACTTGAAGGAACATTGCTTAAATGCAAACCTTGACAAATGTGGAGTGTGCCGATAAAGTGATGACATTGATTTTCATGGGTTAGGGTAAACCTTGTTTCAGGGGAAAAAATGAGTACTGTTTTTGAGACTTTTTCAGTGTGACCGAGAACTCATGTAAGAAAGAGGCTAAGAGGTCAGTGCTGAAAATATAGATTGGAGGAAATGTTGTGTAGTAGAGAGCTCATTGTTTCTGCAGTAAGAACTGGGTTCAAATCCTTCCTCCAATGCTTACTTGCTGAGTGACCTTGGTCACTTCTCTCTAGGTCTCAGTTTCTTCCTTTGTAAAGTGAGGGGGCTGGAGGTAAGGTGTCTCTGAGGCTCCTTCCAGCTCCAGATCTAAGGTTCTTTGTGTGACTTGGAACAAGTCCTTTCACTTCCACAGACCCGTTTCCTTTTCTGTAAAATGTGGCCTCTGCTGTCCCTTCTAGTTATAGATCTAGGATCCTGTGTGTGTGACCTTAGGTAAAGTCCCTTTACTTCCTTGGGCCTCAGTTTCCTTCCCTATAAAATGAGGGGGTTGGAAAAGATGGCTTCTGAGATGCCTTCTAACTTGAGAACAGCGATCCTGTATGTGGGAATGATTGCTGAGTCTATGAGAGTGAATATATTTATGAAGGGAGTAAGTTTAGAGGAAAAATAAGAGAAGACTAGGGCTCGAACCTTATAAGCCTCATGGGATAGTAAAAGGAGTTCATAGAGAGGAAAGTCAGAGAAAGAGGGGAAGAGGGAAAGTGGGATTGTAAAGGAGGAAAGAATTTCCTGTGAGGTTTGTTTGTCCTTAGAACCAGATTAGATCTCGCCTATTGGTGAGGCCTAGAGCAACAAGGGCGTCTTCTGTCCAGTTCAACAAATCAGTTAAAGAAACATTTAGTAAAGCCTCACTATGTGCTGGGGTAGAGGTGGGGTGCAGCTAGGTGGTGCCATGGTACATAGAGCATGGGTCCTGGAATCAGGAAGACTCATCTTCATGAGCTCAAATCTGGCCTCAGACACTTCCTGTGTGTGACCCTGGGCAAGTCACTTTACCCTGTTTGCCTCAGTTTCCTCATGTGTAAAATGAGCTGAAGAAGTACATGGCAAACCACCCCAGTATCTTTGCCAAGAAAACCCCAAATGGGGTCACGAAGAATTGGAAATGACTGAAAAATGACTGAACAACAATGAGTATGCTGGGTACTATGTTAGGTACTGGAGATACCATGACAAAAGAATGAAATGGTCCCCAGTAACCCTTCATTCTGCTATCCAATACTGATACAAAATTGTAAAATGGAAAGAGACTTGAGAAAAGACACTTTATAACAGCTACTGAGATCAGTGAGATGGCCGACCAATTGAAGAAGATTAGAAGTTTTGCTCTGCGGCAGTAAGAGACAAGCTGAGAGTAGGGAACCCGAATTTGTTGTGAGTCTGCACAGAGGCTTGACTTCTCCAGCTGTTTGTCACTCAGTCAACAAACATTTAAGTGCCTACCTATTATGTGCCAGGCACTGTGCTAAGAATCTCAGCAGGATCAGTGGAAGGCAGGGTGTGATCCAGCCTGGGAGCAGTATTTGCACAAGGAATCTAGCACTCGGGGTAGGCAGAATGGTTGAATTGGATAATGGCAGACTCAAGAGTCTGAGGGAAGAAAGTGGGGCCAGAGTAGGGCTGGTGACCTGGGAGCAGAGAAAGAGGGATAGTACAACTGAGGTGCCATGATGTAGTGAGTGGAGTCATTATCCTGACTTGGGGTCAGGAAGAATTGATTTTGAGTCCTGCCCTTAACACTAGCTGTGGGCCTGTGGCCAAGTTACTTTACCTCTTTGACTTTGTTTCCTCGGTTGTAAAATGGGGATGATGAAAGCTGAAGTACACAGAGGGTTGTTGTGAAGATCCAAAGAGATAATATATAGAAAGCAATTTGTAAACCTTAGAGTGTTACAAAAAGGCCAGCTTTGAGTAACTTAATCACTGCTTTCCTCTATTTTCTCATCTATAAAATGGGGATAATAATAGTACCTGTCTCCTAGGGTTGTTTTGAGGATCAAATGAGACAATATTTGTAAAGTGCTTTGCACAGTGCCTGGCACAACAGTAAATGCTATATAAATGTTGGCTATTATTATTGTTGTTGTTGTTGGTAATAATAATAACTAAAGGTTGAGGCAAAGATGAAGAACAGGTTTAGAAGAGATAAAAGGACAGCAGGGCAAGAAGAGGGAAATTTCAACATTGAAGACTATGGATGGAGCAGTTGTGAATGATGGTGTGGTCTAGGATAAGACTATCCCCGTGCATGACTGAGGTAGAGTCAAAGTTGATGTCTTAGGATTTGAGGAGGCTGGGTGAAGTGGGAGGCCAAGGGGGCTTGAGGGGATATCCATGTGAATTTTGAAGTGACCTGGAGGCTGGCAGGTGACAGTACGAAGGACCTGTAGTGGATGATCTGAAGACAATGTTGAACCCTAGAGGAGGAGAGGTTGCTGAGGTATAGTGTAGGGTGGTGGCAGATAAGGGGGTTCTGAATTATATTTCCCAGCTGACTGTGATCCTTCCCCCTATTCACTTCTTCCTCATGGTTTCAAAGGATGTATGACAAACTCCTATTTGATGTGGTCCTTAATCTTTACCCTTTGTACCCCTTATTCTTTTCATCAATATGTCCATTCTACCGAACCAATATCTCCTTGGAGGTCTATGAGTTCCCTTGACACTCAGAATTCACTCACTGAGATCATCTCATAATATAGGAGAGTCCTTTCATATCAGTATCCCAGAGGTCATGGACACTCCATTGGAATGGAGAGAATTTTAGCCTAACGTTCAAAGCCTTTCCATTGAAATTCTAACTAGGCTTGTGGAAACACAGATTCTTGAGATGGTAGGTTATGAAGCACCAGTCATGTCTTTTTCATCGGGTTTGAGTTAGTTCCCCATCATTTCAGGCATTTTTGCATGCCTTCTTTTCCAAGCATGTTTTGGAAATGCTTAAATACCTGGTTTTTGTTTGACGTGTAGCTCAGCATGATGGAGTGGATAGAGCCTCCGAAGCGAGAGCGCAAGGCCAATTACGCAGTGGATGCCTATTTCAGGGAGGCTTTACGTGTTAGTGAGCCGAAAGTTCCAAAGGTAAGTGAAGGTGGCCCTCTGTACTCTGAATGTGGCTTGGTACCATGTAGAATAGGGCATACCACCAGCCAACTCATGCTTCTCTGAGTTGGACAACAACGGTGCCCCAAAAGCCTGTTCTAACACACCCTCAAAAGGGGATGGAAGCCTGTCCCCCATACACAAAAATAAAATTTTCTTTTTTAGCAAAATGAATAAAGTATCATCGTGTATTTTTTTCATTTTAATGTATTTTTTTTCCTTCTATAGGCCCCCCGACCACCAAACAACCAAATATCCAAGATTTTCAGTTCTTTCCACCACGTTTATTTGAGCTTCTGGAAAAAGAAATTCTTTATTATCGGAAGACTATAGGTTATAAGGTAATTCTTCCCCCTCTACCATCCCCGTTTGGCTAGCAAGGGACTCTATTGCGATGTCAAAGTACCTGTCCATTTGAATCTGAGGATAAGTAAGGGCAGTCTGTGTTTATAAAATGAAAAGGAGATTTAAGTGACCATGAAATTCTCCTGGATCACCAATTCAGTCACTTAGTGAGATGAATGGAATGTTAATGCGATATTTGGGCATGATATCAATGTAGAGTTTTGTGATGACCATGTTTCCTGATCAAAGCCTCAGTGAGGTATTTGTGTATATAATTAAAAGGAAGGCCATGAAAATTGGGGCTGAAGCCTATAGGCAAGGGTCTTCCTTTTATGCTTTGGATAGTTCTTAAGGGGCCACATGTTTGTTTTTGGGCTCACTTCAGTAAGAGTGATAACCAGTTTATGAATTTCAGACAGTTCACCTTAGGGCATAACAAAGAATAGATGAAGGGCCTGTTTTTGAGGTGAGCTGAATGCCATTAAGTCAGAATAAGTTCACTGAATTGAGTTAAGTAAGAAAGGCAGGCTATTTCCAGAGGTTGAGAAATAAACTAATTCGTGAAGGGCTGGTTGAAAAAAAAAAAGATGTCTGTAGCCACAGGAGAAAATAAAATAATAGAAACTATATACCTGTTTTGCATTTATTAAAACCCTCGACTTTATAATCTGTAAGTTTTCTTTGAATTGTGACTTTCGGGGGGGGGCAGAGTCTGATACCTGCCAAGTGCCCAGAAATGCTCCATGTTGCCAGTTGTGGAGTTAGGGTACAGAGCTGTAGGGAAGTCTTTTTAGATCAGGCTGCAACATAGTGAAATATTGACAGTGAACCCATCCAAGATGACCTAAGCCTGCCTACAGCCTTACTTATGTTTCAGAAAACTTCTGGCCCATCTAGGAACAGGAGGCTGGTTCGAGACCAATGGAGGAAGTAGTTAGAAATGTGAATCTCTTGAAACCAACAGGATTGGATAAGACATATCTTCTGGTTTTAAAGCAATGGGTGGAAAAGCAATACTGCCCCTCTGGAGTTTTTAAAAGGAAGATAGTGACGTTGGAGTAGGTGTAGATGAGGTGTATTTGGGGACCAAAGGGGAAGCATATGCCAGCCTGGGCCTGAACATGGAGGCGCTCTTCTTATTAAAAACTGGACCAGATTAAAATCATCAAATTAGTAAACACATCATTATGTTTTTTTGTCTCAATGGACTGGCTTATGAGAAGTAAGGTTTTTTTAAATTATGTTTTATTTTTTTAATGAACACAAATCAATTTTCTGTCCAGCCCACTCCTCTCTTCTCTACTGAAAACAAGAAAAAGAAAAACAAAACCATTGTAACAAAGGTGCATAGAAAAAAAAACCATGTTGTCTCTTAAAGTTTGAAGGAATAATATTCACATTTTAAAATCCTGTATTTACCATGTTAATCAGAAGGAGGACTTGAAAAGGAGGCTTAGCATTTGATTCATGAACCCATTCATATAGACCTCAAAGTGGGAGTGGGCTATTTCAGCTTGAGATCTGATCGCATCGCCTTTGGCAGAGCCTGAAGATGACCCAAGGCCTGTGAGCATGGCAACTGTGACCTAATGAGTGGGGGATGGGATGGGCAGGAAGTGCCAAGGAACAGCGGTTAAGCAGTTAGGGAGTGCTGGGTAGCTAGTGACATGCACAGCCAGCCATCTTCTATCCCCCACTGAGCCACTCCAAGCTCCTAGAGCAGAGGTGTGGAACCTACAGCCTTAAGGTCACATGTGGCCTTCTGGGTCCTTAAGTGTGGCCTTTTGACTGAATTCCAATTTTAAAATTGGGGTTCAGTCAAAAGGCCGCACTCAAGGATCTAGAAGGTGATGTGTCCTTAAGGCTGCAGGTTCCCCACCCCTGTCCTAGAGAGTGCAACTTGGCCCTTTGATGAAACTTAACAGTGCTAACAGTGGGATCCACTGAATTTTGGGTACAGTCCTAGACTTAACTTAATTGACTTCTAGTTTCAACTTAGCTGCACCTGATTGCTATCCCAGTCTGGCATTCCAAGAATGGCTTTGGGGTTTTTCCCACCCTTTTTTCTCCCCCATTCTCTGGCTTCTTCCCTTCCCTTCCCTCAGCTGCCTGTATGTGGGATGATGTCTGCTGTTGCCCAGGGAGGTGGTGTTGAGGGGAAATGGGAAGGAGGACAAGAACGGGAAGTGGGAGTGAGAGAGAGCATAATATTGTAGGCCCCCGCTGCTGCTCTCTTCTTTCCCTCTCTGCCTGAAAAGTTAATTGGCAGGAGAGAAGAGGCAAGAGTGGGGCTTTCTGCCACTATTCCGCCCCCCCACCCCCGCTTTGTACCCTCTTCTGCAGTCCTAAGAAGCCTTGGCTTTCTTTTCTGCTCTAATGAGCTCCCCTGTTTCACCAGCAGCTTGGAGCTGAGGGAATTCCCACTGCTGGGGTCACATTAGAGAGAGATGTGCGCTTGGCATCCCAAGTTGGAGCTTAGAATGCATTTCCCCATAGAAACGAGGCTATAAACAGTGGTTCAGTTCTGTAGTCATGGCTGAAATAGGCTGGGTTTGTTGGCCTGAGCTGGGAACCTAAGCCCCATTTATCACATAGTTTCAGTGGGAAAATACATTCTGCATTCCAAACACAATCTATGTAAGTCGAGGACTGCCTCTGTTTAGAAAAGAAAAACTAAATAGTGAAATTGAGGCTCTCCTGGCTTGAATTACAGCCACCGGGAGAGTGGGGAAAAACGTCTCCTGTTGCCCGAGGGCAGCGTAGAGACCAGGGCTTGGGGGGGATATTTCTCTGTTAGTCTTGAGGTAGGGTTGGATTTGATCGGAAGATCTTAGCCATCGCCAATTTTGGTCGAGGTTTCCGGTGTAGTGACCCTTGCCAGAAACGCTTCCACTGTGCATTCAGAAACCACTTCTTCGGGCCGAAATTATTCGCTCTGGTGAGTCCCCCAAAAGCCTTCCCTTTTATGTGAATACTTATATCTTAAGATGAAGATTTTTTAAATGTTCTTTCACTAACTTGCTTAGTTAAAGTCTAACCTTGATTAATTAAAGGCTAAGTGTAAACATTGCAAAACAAAACATACCCTCCCCTTCTTTCAGTTCCTTGGTGATCATGGAAGAAAATGACTCCAGATTTTTCTAAGGTGGATCAGTCAGTGAATAAGCATATGTGACGTGTCTGCTATGTCCTGGATCTTTTTTATAGTGTATTTGATTGAAGGGGAGTTATTTTACCCTTAATTTTTGTGGTGTGTGTTACTGATCTTCAGTGAGAAATGCCCAATAATGCCATATGTAGATTTGTGTTTATTTTCATTAACTAGTAATCAGCAGAATGCTCAGAGATCCTATATAGTCCTTACCAATGGCCCAAATTTATCTGCTCAAAGGTAGACATCTTAAAATAATTATCATTGGCTCTTGTTTGACAAATAATCTGTTACAATCGAGATGATAATAAATCCTATCCGAGATCCCAAAATGAATAGATGGGAGGCAGTCTGGTGTCACGGAAAGAACGCTGGACTTGGGAGACCTGAATTCATATCCTGGCTCACATGTTTCCTGGCCATGTCATCTTGAATACATACAACCTTCCAGACTCTTTCTCCATCAGTAAAATGAGGATAATAATATATGCTAACTACCTCACAGGGTAAGGAGAATGCTTTTTAAACCTTAAAATGCTGTGTAAATATGAGCTGTTATTCTAATAAATGGCTCTGAGAGTAGAATGTTGAGATTTAGAAATGCTTGTTTCTTTCCAATTCTGGTGTTATGAGACAGTTAAAAGGACATGTAGTCAATGTACTCCCCAAGTGATCAGTTCACTCCCTGGATGTTTTAACTCAGTGATAAAATTCAGCTCATTTTTGCGGTTATTTAATTTAAAAAAATGATTCAGTAAGATGATTTCATTTTGGTCCAGACCTCTGTGGGAGCCCTTCCAGTACCAGGATAGGTCAGCATCTCTTCTGTGACTTATAATCTTGGTGCTTGAGGCAGTGAGAACATACGTGTCAGAGGACATCTTCCTGACTGCTACTGCTGCCTCTCACTCGAGAATAGATAGCAAACCAGTGCTACTCAGGATCTAGATTGTGCACGGGTTAGGAGCCTTCAGAAGTGGAACCAACTTGTAGGCACTAGTCACTAGAATCACCAAGATCCATCCATATGCTGGGGGAGGATAATTCAGCCTCCAGGATTTATCAGATTATATTCCTCTTGGAACATCACTTAAATATCTTCAGGGAAATAGTAGAGGAGTTGGGTTTGAGATGTCTGGTTTCCTCTCTGTAAATGAGGAAAATGTAAACCCCTTTGGACATTTGTTCTCAATCAGAATTCTTTAGGAATGAATAGCAGCATTTGCTTCACAGGGAGGCGGTTCTGTAACGTTTGGAAGGTTGGAGGATGAGGCACGATGCACAACCAATTTTGCAGAGGTAAAACTAAAAGGGTTTGAGGTGATTTCAGGTTACTGTTTTCATTTTATGTGCCATCACAGCTAATCCTGCGCTCCATATTTTTATGGAATGCTGCCTAAAACGCCAGCATTGGCTAAAGACAAAAAAAGGCCCTTCGCCTCTCCCCTCCCCATAGCTCTTCATCAAATGCTGCTGAGTTCCCTGCCTCGAAATCCAAATTGTGCTCAGAGTTTCCTTTTAAAATCTCCTTTTTGGAGATTGCAGTTGTCCATCATCTGGGCCCAAAACGATGACATGCCGATCAAAACATTGGCGATCACTTCGGTATTATCGAAGGAGTCAGGCTGTAATTTGTCTGCTTACCTCCACTAGAAGCCAAATGCTGGCAAGAAGCCGATGAAGTAAAATCCATGAATGGTCTGCCCACTTTAAATATTGAGAGAGAGATTTTCAGAGCCTACTGAAAGCCACAGAACTAACTCTTCCATCAGATTTGGAGAGCAGGTCTGGCATTTGGAGTTATTCTAGTGTTGAGGCTTTCGGCAAATAAGCAGGAAACATATA